TTTGGAGGTATTTTCTTATTTAGAAAAGTGGTCATTAGAAACATGTGATCATAAAGAACATCAGAGACCACTAAGCAAAGTGAAATTTCAGGAAGCTATAGAGAATCTTGATTTTTTTTTTAGTATGCATTTATATTTTTTATCCTAATGCTTCATGTAGTCATAATGCTGTGTCAAATATCATTTCAGGATGATGGAATTTGGCCTCCTTGGGAAATAGTTGCTATTGTCATGACTGCCTGGAAGCTTGGTGAAGATTTACTGTTCTCTTACATCATGCTGTTAGAACCACAGGGTCATTCTTCGAACTTTTTTTTTTAATTAAGGCGACATTGGTTTGTAACATTATATAAGTTTCAGGTATAGAATTTTATAATTTGACATCTGTATACACTACAGCATGCTAACCACCGAAAGTCTGGTTTCCATCTATCACCATACAGTGACCCCCTTCACTCATTTTGCCCACTCCCCAATCTCTTTCCCCTCTGGTAGCCACCAATCTGCTGTCTGTATCTGTGAGTTTATTTTTACTTTGTTTGTTCACTTTTTTTTATATTCTCCATATTGGTGAAATCATATGGTATTTGTCTTTCTTTGTCTGACTTATTTCACTTAGCATAATACTGTCCAGGTCCATCCATGTTGTTGCAAATGGCAAGATTTTATCTTTTTTTTTTTATGACTGGATGGTATTCTATTTTGTGTTTGTGTATATATATATGTATATATATATATACCACATCTTATTTATTCATTCATCTGTCATTGGACTACGTTGTTTCCATATCTTGGCTGTTATAAATAATGCTGCAATGAACATAAGCATGCCTTTATCTTTTCAAATTAGTGTTTTCATATTCTTCAGATAAATACCCAGAAGTGGAATAGCTGGATCATAAGGTAATTCTATTGTCAATTTTTTGAGGAATCTCTATACTGTTTTCCTTAGTGGCTGTACCAATTTACATTCCCACCAGCAGTACACCAGGGTTCCCTTTTCTTCAAATCCCCTCCAACACTTGTTATTTCTTGGAATAGCCGTTTTGACAGGTATGAGGTGATATCTCATTGTGGTTTTGATTTGCATTTACCTAATCATTGGTGATTTTGAATATCTTTTCATGTGTCTATTGGCCATCTGTATGTGTTCTTTGGAAAAATGTCTATTCAGGTCCTCTGCCCATTTTTAATCAATTGGTTGGCTTCTTTTTGTTGAGTTTTGTGAGTTCTTAAATTCTCAAAGTACATACTTTTTTTTGAGAAAGTTGTAATTTTAATTTTAAATCCACTGAAAACCAATGTAATTAGGGTACAGCATATTCTATCTTGCAATAGATTTTAGAAACATGCAAATGAGGCACACTATTTTCCATGCTCGTTTGCTTTTCATCTGGGTGTTTTGAATTTAATGAGTTTTTCCTAAATTGGTGACCAGTAGGCTGACACTATGTTTTACTGTAGAAGAATCTTTTTTTTTTCTTGTAACAATCACAGCTATCAATTGCAAGATACATGTTGCTGTTTTGTGATGAGGAAGCATCCCTAGTCCGATGTAGTTTTTTCTCCCTCTTGCTAGAACAAAATGAATTCTTTCAGACATATTATAACCTAAAGATATATTATTTCGGTGGCAGGAATCCATTGCCAAAAAAACCCATAAAGCTTTTTATGGAACTAAAACAGTTCACGTAGGTAGGAAGTGTAAGACTCATTGCCATATGCTGTTCTCATCCTGTAGCCCTTGACTCTAAATTAGCTGAAATTGTAACATGTACCCCCATGCCTCTGCAGCAGAACTTTCCTGAAAACTGAAAAGGAGATCTATAATACCATTACTTTTACTAGAGCTTACAGAAGAGTTTTTTTGTGAACTTTCCAGTAGGGATTTGAGAGGGCTATTGAATCCTGGACTGTGTTTCCATAGAACTTGTTTTAATAGGTGTTATGTGGAGGAAAAAAATTCTGCGGTCATATAATTTCAGGAAATTATAAATCTGTAAACAAAGTTAAACAGGTTTCTTGATACTGCTGGTGGTCACAGAGCACTTGATCATTGTGTATCACCAAAAGGGGATATTTTATAGGAATCCAAAATTGCAGGGAGCTCTTTTTCCCCTAGGAGTATGTTGTATGGCCAATGTCTATTGAGCAAATTCAGGGAAACACCTTTATAGGTATTTCTCATTCATTGCAAACTGAAGTTCACCTTGGTTCTTGATGTTTTGATCAAAGTGTGACCTCTAAAAGGTGCATATTATGGACCACCATGCTCCAATTCTATAGGGAAGGCAATATTTGATATGTTAATTAGTGATGGAGCTGAATATAATATGCCTGAGTCTTAAATTAGGTTTAATTACTTCTATATATAAGACACTGAGTGCAGTTTCCTCACTGCCTAAGCTAAAGTTAAATGTGCTGAGATTTTGAATTCTCTTTTATAGGCTATATACCTTAGTAACATTTGAATATATATAGAACAAATCAACTGGGCTTACTCTGTTCTAAGCAGTGAGCTAAGAGCTTAAGGAACATGAACTAGGAAATCATGATGATAGTGTGGCTTAAAGAAGCTCAGTAAGTGGTCTGGGGTCCTATGGCTAGTAACGTGGTGAAGCAGGGCCTCAAACCTGGGCTGGCTTCACACAAGCTCCTAACCACCTCTTGGCAAATATAGCCAGGGGTGGAACACTAGTAATCAGTTGTTAAATCTCTTTAATGAAAAAGTATCCTGATTTACGTGAAAATAATGGGATCTTAATTGAAATTTTTAAAAGATGATGTTAATTATGTAACAATATAGTTAGAATTATCTCAAGAGATGACATTGGCTTTAGTGTTAGTGATGAAAGAATAAATATCCCTAAAGAATTAAGTTGAGATGAATAAAGTTGAGATGAGATATATTCCTAAGCAAATTGTTTTAAACATATGCAAGTATGTTTTAGCAGAGATTTTGTTTGTGTTTTGCAAACTTGGCAAGTTGGCATTTCTTGGAGAGACATTAAAATGGAGAGGGTCTCAGACTTTTTGAATCACCATTCTGCCACTTACTAGATATCCTATTTTGGTCTAGTTGGGTTTTTTTTTTTAAACCGTTTTGGAGCCTAAGTTTCCTTTAGTATAAAATGGATAAAGTAGTATGTATTTCATAGAGTTGTTGTAAATCTTAAATACAAAACTTATATAAAGCACATAGCTCAGGGCAAATAATAGCATATAAATGGTATTTTTCTTGCCCATTCCCCTACCTTAGTAATATTTAAAAATTTTATTTGTTATTGAGAGAAACTTACTTGATATATTTTTTTAAAGACAAGATAAAATATCTGGAACCTTCTACAACTGGATGGCATCCTCCTGGTGAACTAATTTATAGTCAAAGATCTTTAATGCCCGGCTGAAAATTGCCTTAAAAAGTCCTCTTTTTTTTTTTTCCCTGTGAGACTCATGTTTTTAGTCATTTAACATTTCAGAAATGTTCAGAGAGGCTGTTATTAATTCACTAGTGTGATTTATAATCAATGGCACCTTAGGATCAAAAAAATACAGTAGAAAACCTAGTGAGTAACGTAGCAAAAGTGTTGTAATCTATCATGTATGCAACTCTTATTTCTCCATATCATTGAAAGGAAACTGAAGCCCCAAAGCCAGCATATCAATGGGTAGAGAGAGGACTTCTGATTCCATTTGTCAGAAAAGGTTATCTCTACTTTTATTTAACACTAGCCCTTAATTCCACAAAGAATAAAACCGAAGTAGCCAAATTGCAAACAAGAAGCACGTAGAGTAGATTGGAAAAACCTTTTTTTGGCATGTGTGTTATTTTTAAACTTTGATGTGAACTAAAGAAGAAATGTGTTTCTCAGAGGCCTCTAGGAACAGATAATCAGTAGGACAGATCATTTATAGAGGCAGTTGGTCTTGAATGGTTTGTGCGATTTTTATAATAATTTTTGTCAAATAAAAAGCTGCAGTAAATCCGCAGTACAGTCCTATCACTGAAGTGGCTCAACCCTGGCGTCAGAGTGTGCAAAGGAAAATCTGACCGTCGGAGAAACATAGGCACTTGTAGCAGATGATTGCGTCCTAATGCAAGCCTTTCTGTTGCTTTGGTTATTTAAGGCACATTTATAAAATATATGATTCAAAGCTGCTTTTTCTCTGTGTCAGGTATAGACAAACACAGGCTAATAAAAATAGCCAGGGAGGAGCTTAGCCTCCCAGGATGGGCTGTCTGAAGAATAATGACATACATTCTGCCTTGAAGGCTGTAATCGGTCTTTATTGAAAAGAATCTAGACGGAAGACATGCAGGGGCTTTTGGACAGTCCTGCCTCATTACATTTTGCATTTATCTGCCATCTTCTTACATCTCTTGGTCTTTGAGGGTTATAACCAATTACAGTGATTTTTTTGTTTTTACAAAGGAAGATAAATGAACCTACCATATAAAATCACATCCTTGTTTCTTTATTTTCTTTGGATCGCTGTAAAGACTCAATGTTGAACTTCTCCCTTCAAAACTTAAGTAAAGGGGCTGGCCCTGTGGCTGAGTGGTTAAGTTCGCACGCTCCACTTCGGCGGCCCAGGGTTTTGCCAGTTCAGATCCTGAGTGCGGATGTGGCACCGCTCGTCAGGTCATGTTGAGGTGACATCCCACATGCCACAACTAAAAGGACTTGTACCTATAACGTACAACAGTGTGCTAGGGGGCTTTGGGGAGAAGAAGAAGAAGAAGAAGAAGAAGAAAACCAATTAAAACAGGCTAGGAAAGTCTGGTGGCTTGATGTATTTATTTTTTCTTTGAAAAGACACAGTAATATTTTTTTTTTTTAAAGATTTTATTTTTTCCTTTTTCTCCCCAAAGCCCCCCCAGCACACAGTTGTGTGTTCTTCGTTGTGGGTTCTTCTAGTTGTGGCATGTGGGACGCTGCCTCAGCGTGGTCTGACAAGCAGTGCCATGTCCGCGCCCAGGATTCGAACTAACGAAACACTGGGCCGCCTGCAGCGAAGTGCGCGAACTTAACCACTCGGCCACGGGGCCAGCCCCGACACAGTAATATTTTTAACTGCAATTTTATGACTAGGCTTTCAACGTACCTTAATATTTTTTATATTAAAGTTTGAGTAAACATGACTGATTTTATATATGTGTGTGTGTGTGTGTGTGTATGTGTGTATGTGTAAAGAAATTTCTGTGCAAGTGAACATTCTAAGTGGGTCTAATTTTAAATATTGATCATACTAATGCATTTTGCATAAAGTTTAAACTTAATGTGTGTTTTCCTTCAGCTCATGCCCCCAGATGACTTTCTAGCTAGGACACCTTTGGAGCAAGGCAGACAAAAAAAATGAGAGCTCCTCTCCATTACATAGCACAGTGCTGCCGGATTATTTCCTATTTTGAGTAGCTGTAGGATCTAACTGACACAGCAGGATGCCTCAGAATATCTTTATGTAGGAGAACTCTCTCTTATTCTTTCTCTCTCTTTTCTCTTCTCTTCTAACTAAATTCCAAAAAAAGGAGTTGGAGAATTTTTATTGTTCTTCTAAAAATTAAAACTTAGAAAAAACTTTTTTTGCATTCAGCCATAAAGTACATCAAGATTCTAATCTTCCTTCCGCCCATAAAAGAGGACACAAAGGAAAGATTAGCAAAGGAAAGACTAAGGAAATAAACCTGTTTTGTAAAGTATAGTATTAAATGCGAACAGTTAAAATTAATATATTCCAAACAACCCTGACAATTAATAGTGGTTACATTATTAAACTCCAGTCCCTCTTCGATACATTTTGTAAATACTGGGCATATGTGATGCTTATTATACACGTAGGCATCTTAACAGAAATCCAGCCTTGAGAATTATGGTAATAAAACTGATAAATGTAAAAAATATCAATTGCTTTGCTATCTCAGTGTAAACGTACTCACAAAATGAAAAGTCTAGAGTAATTGTTTAGGATTTCTCCTCTGTCCCCACCCCAGAACTGATTAAAATCTAACTGTAAGAAAATGTGTGTTTTGAAAGCTATGTTGTATGCTGTTTATTGCAATTATCATTTGTTTCAAGTTTAGTTTAACCAAATGACAAAGTCAGAATAATCTTTCTGGCCAATAGTTTTGTTTCAATAAACATTAAGAAATGTTCTGTTGCTCAGAAATCTTTGACAGCTCCTCAGAGCCGCTAAGAAAGTCCTAATTTTTTGTATGGTAGTCAAGTCTTACAAAAAACTATTTTGTTAGCCTTTTCTCCCACCCTTCACCCTGCTTCCTACGCTCGCTAAGCTCTTTGCTTTTCCTCTAGTGTGTTTTAGAATTTCAGTGTCTTTGGAAGGCCCCTCTCATCACTTTCCTGCCTAGCAAACTCCTATTTTTCTTGAAGCTTAGTTCTAATTTCCCTTCCAGTGAAGGATTCTTGCATCCTTTTTTCTTCTGTCGCCTGGCCAAATTCCTTACTTCCTCTCTGCATTCCTTCATTCCTTTACTCATATCACATGTATGGTGTAAGTTACACTATTATTTTAGGATGCTTGCTTTTCTGCTAGTTTCTTAGTCTTTTGGAGAGCAGGTATAATATTTTGCTTACATTTTCATCACCATAGCCAGGCACAGTGAAAGAGGTAAATAAATGAATTGAGTCATATATCTATCTAGAGTTGTCAACAGCCATTTTAATAAAGGAAGGAGAAAATAATAAAAATGGCTTCCCTTTCATATGAGTATATTAATCTTAATGTTTCAGTGAATGGACTGTTTGAATAGTTGAAATTTCTAGTTGCCTGTATATTCCCAAGGTAATTTATATTGCTCCCGTGTTTTACCATAGCTTTGATCCCAACTTGTGGGCTATCTAAAGATTCCTTACAAAATTAATTTAACTAGCTAAAATATACCATACTGTTTTCTTTAAATGGGTTGCTTTACAGGCTCTTATTTTCATAAGATTTTCCAGCAGAAGTAATTTAGTGTTGGTGTCTATTCCAAAAGCCTTCAGTAGAGCTGATGGCATTGAAGTGGAGCCAGAGAAGAAGATGAAGAGACAGGCTAACTACCCCTTCACTAAGGAGCCAGAAGCACAAGCTGAAAAGTGACTTTCCTTTGACTAAAGAAAATCACATTCCACTAGAGGCAGCACATTTTCAGACTGGTGATTGGCCAACTTTATATCCAGAAGGAAACAAATTTAATAGACGAGGAGTAGCCATTCAGAGAATTAAACTTTTTGTCTATGTTTGGACTGAAGAGACGAGGCCCATCTCTTCCTTCTTGAAGTAGGGCAATTCAAGCTCTTTTGGTCTGTAAGAGAAAATCAAGCTCCCAGGGAATTTTAAAAGGGCTTTTTCTTGCGAAATATGACAGTTTGCAGAAGCGTTTTCTTCTTCCATTTACCCTTTCAATGAGGAAACTTATCTTCCTGACAAAAATTGCATTAAGAAGCAGCTGTAGTCATTTCCCCTTAGGCGGCATTCTGAGGAATATTTGAGAGAATAACTCCCTGAAGATAAATGGGCTCCTCAGTAGCCTCAGGCATGAGGAATAAAAAGGATCCTTTGTTTTTTTATATTCTGGGCACTTCTGTGAATTGGCTGGTTAGCACAAATTAAAAATCAACAAAACTTTTTAATTGGGAATAGTTGCTGATCAGCTGTATTCGTGTCCTAGTTGAAGTTTAATAGTGGGAGGGGGTTGGTCTTCTGGTTGGTGAAGGTTCTTTTCTCTATTTCCAAGTTGGGGGCAGTTTGAAGTATCTTTTTGTGGTCCGGAATGAGGCTGAGAAGTTGAGTGAAGTTACACTCTGTAAATCCATACCTCTTTTCAGGAGATAGCTCTGTTCAGTCTCAGGCTGCAGGTGTTGGAGCAATAGGAGCTGTTATTTAAATATACTGAGGCAGTCACGTCACACATCATGGAAATCCTCTCTCAGAAGTTGTACTTTGGTGCTCAGATCTCTCCTCATAATGTTCTGGGACTCTCCTCTTCACTGTACCCCATTTTCTTTCCCCCACAGTCCCCACAGACATTTTCATCTCTCTCTTATTGCCCACTCTTGCCTTCGGGATCTCCTGGTTGTAGATTTACGTTTCTCCAAGTATTTGGTTGTACCCCTTACCCCTGATTAGCCCACAAAGACAAGGTAGCAAAAATCCTCCTCAGGAGGGGAGGAGTGGGAATGGTTAAGAAAACTTATATTTAACAATTTAGCCTGCCCTGTAATTCCACTGCCTTGTCTACAATGGTGCTAATTGAATATGCCCTTCCACTTAGGATTTAGGGTGAAATAGGTAGTATTTTATCAGCTAAGAATTTACTGAGTATATACTCCTTTCCACAAGTAATTTCTTGATCATAAGTATGAAATCACTCTGTAATTCTCATTCTCCCTCTCTCTCTCTTTTGACTCTTTCTTATCATTCTTTACAACAGTTTTTACTTGTTTACAGCTTTGGACAGCTGCAAGTGTTGATTAATATCCATAAGACTTAGTAAGACAAATCTATAGTACTTCATGTGCCAAGAATAAAACTTTTTCAAATCTAGGATTCATTTTATCTCTACAAATTATGTGTTAAAATAATCACTTTTAGGTAAAATGCCCTTTGGAATCACAACTTACAGAACAGACCTTTGTGAAAAATTTCATTTGTTGATAGAAGGACCAATGGCTTAAAATTATTTTTCCCATATTAAATGTTTTGAGTTGACAATTCATGTTTCAAAGAGAAAATATAATGATTTGATCGTTTGTTTTTTAGCATATTCATTTTCCTACTATGGTTAATGAAATGGAGTCTTTATAGTGAGGAGGGTCCTCTGACAGAAGCTTTGTGACTGGCAATAGTATGTTGTTCAAGGTGTGGGAAGAACAGGTAAGAACCAGAAGTTGCAAGTGGCTGTTGAAGTTGGGAGTGGTGGTGGTGAAAGGCGCAAGTGGACCAAACAACCCTAAATGTTACTAAATACAAAGAAGAGCCTTTACACCAATTTCTAAATGGTGTTTGACTGTTTTGAAAGGATGTTAGGAGGGAGAGCAGGGAGAAATAAGAGTGAGGAGGTAGAAGAGAAAGTGTAGGCTGTCCTTCACCTTGGGGCTTTCCCACCAATCAAAGGCACAGACCCCAGATTCTACCCAAAAGTTCATTTTAACTGATGTCAGAAGTTGCTTTTAGCCTTCCTGATAAGGGGCTATTTTCTAGAATGACAATTTATACTACAGTTTTGAAGTAAACACCTCTTTAATTGGGATCTACCAAATATCTCTTATGTTTGATGTTGGAAAAACTTGATATTAACTTCTTGTTGAGAAGGCCCTCCTCTTATTCCTTGGAAAACAAATTTGTCATAACACCTCTTTATACAACTTTATTTATCTTCATTACTCAAGTAAAAACTGAGCAATAACAAAACCTTGTTATATGAAAGGACAGTATATGATGCAGAGGAAAGAACAAACAGCTGAGAACCAGTATGCTTGAGTTTTAGCTCTGCCATCCCCATCCCCAAGAAGAACAGTGTTGCTTTCATTTGTTTTGCATATTAAGTTTCAATGGAATATTTTAGTTGAAAAGAGGGTTCTGTACAAAAAAGAAAGAAAAAAGCTTTAGAAATCATCACCAATAAGTGTGCTGCATCCTGGGTTTGTCCTTGGGTACAGTGATATTTTCTTTCTCTTTCTAGAGCACCTAGTGCTCTCTGTTGACATCAACCCCGCTCTGCGCCAGAGGCGGAGCTCACATCTACTGAGAACTCACGGTGGGCCAGACGCTCTAAGTATTTCACTTGTGCCTTATCTCATTTATTACTTAGACCAGAGATGGGCAAACTTTTCTGTAAAGAGTCAGATAGTAAATATTTTAGACTTTTTGGGCCATAAACTCTCTGTTGTGATTGCTCATCTCTCCTGATGTAGTGCAAAGGAAGCTCTAAGATAATGTGTATTGTGTGTGATTGAAACTCACACAATACAAGGTAAAAGAATTAGAAATATAATCCACATCTTTCAACTTCAAATTTTATGTTTTTTCCATAATTCCTGCTAATGGTGTGGCCTCTTGAACTAAAAAGGAAATTTTGTAGCTTAAAAAAAAGGATGCCTTTATTATCTATAAGGGGATAACAGACTTGATGGAAAAGAATTAAAGTTATAAAAGACAAAATAAGAAGGAAACCTTGGAGAAAATTTAAAAAATTTTTTATGCCATAGGAATATTTTTCTGCCAATAGAGCAATGCATTGTCTTAGTAATGTTTAACTCTTAATGTATTGTCGTGTAACATATTCTGCTAACAATGTAAAGAAACATTAGCTATCTTTGCTTTGCTCATATTCTCTCTGAATCTACAAAATTTTCTTTTAGAAGTAATCTGCATGTGTTCTCCTCTCTTTATTTGTATATTTTTCTTACAGAGGACCTACTACCTACAGGAAACTATAGGGGATAGTGGTCTAATGGTTAAGAGCCCTAGGGCTGGAATCAGATTTCCTTGTTTTGACCCCCAGCTGTGGCATTCACCTTTATCAAATAACTGAACTTCTCTATGCCTCAGTTTCCTGAACAGCACAATGGGTATAATAATAGTATCTATCACATAGGGTTGCTGTGAAGGTTATATGAGCGAATACATGACTACACTCACTGCATATATGCTGGTTACTCTTGTGCATGCTCAGTAAATGTTATCCATTATCACTGTTGTTATTAATACATATCAGCTTTTGAATCACCCTGAAATTTGCCAGTCACACTTATTTTTCTTGGTTTTTATTTTTCACTTGGATCTGAATGTTTTAGGAGGATGTCCGTTAGGGAATATCTTAAAATGCATTTTACATTTACATTTCTATGCAACTATACACAGATTATTTTGATTTTAATTGCTCTTTATAAAAATAATTATACCATTTTTATTGTTTTCTATAAGATAAAATTCTCTTTAAGGGTGACAGCATTTGTATATGAGGGTCCCTGGAAGAATAAATCTAGATGATGTCATCTATTGAAATTCATTTTTGTTGCTTATAAAATACAAGTAGAAAAGGGATGTACGTACAGCCAGCAGTCGTCATCAGTGTGACTGATCTTTTAGACCCTCTGATACCAAATATAAAGTCAGTTGCTTTGGCATCTTTGGAATTATAATAGGTTTGGATGAACAGTTTGACTGTGACTGCTGATAATTGTAATAGTTGGTGAGAATGTGGCATCTTTGACCACATCTTCTGTCAAAAAAAGTTCAATTTATCTGCACATCTCCCTCCATCTCTCACTCCTCCAAGAGGCAATCCCAAGGTGAACCAGTCTTACTAATTAAGAATGTCCCCCTAGTATGTTGGGTGGAAGATGACAACCACCATTGTGCAGTCCATTTGGATAAGGAACTGGGGAAGACATAATCGTATTACTAACAAGTTAACCCAGTAGCAAAGCCTGGGGTAGTTTTGCTGGAATGAAGAGCCTGGTGTCTTTACTCTTAGATCTTCTTCTCATTAGTTAATATCTGAGTTCCAGGGAGAAGGAGGGCTCTGTCTAAGACTATTTGCCTTAATAAGAAATGGGGTCATGTGCTTTGGTTCTCTTCTATCACATAAAGGCACCATGGTACATTCTTGCACCTATGGGACTCAGTACATCTCCATTCTACCTACGGAGAGATTTCAGGGTCTGGCAAGTGATAGCCATGGTGCCTGATATTAAATAGCAATGCCCACCAGAATTGGCAGAAGAACCCAACAACATTGACTACATCCAGGGGTACCAGCAAGTGTAAGTCAAAGTGAAAATGGCACCCAGTGGTAATGCTGTGGGTGCCTGGAAGTCATGTGGGTACCTGAGAATGGTATCCAGCATGTGCTAGTATCTTACAAGGCATTAGCCACTAGTGGGGGCTGTCGCAGAAAAGGAAAGAAAATGCAGGTACTATATGGTAGCAACCAGACAGTTGACCCAACCAAGCGATGGGCATACTCTTGGGTCTTCCAGAAAAACTTGGGGAGCACTTTACTGTCAAAAGTATGGAAGAACTTTGTTGACTGCTGGAGTTACTTGTGCATTTTCCAGTAACATGATATTTTTTGTATTCCAAAAAATACAAAAGAAGCAATTCTGATATATGTTTGTGCCATTTCAAGAGGATAGGATTTGTATATGAGCCTCCAAAGTTGAGAAATACAATATGCTACTGCAGTTAGAACCTAGATGGAAATTGGGAAATCTGAGTTCTGGCACCAGCTCCCTGGTGGAATAGTGTGTCTTTGACCAAATCACTTAACTTCTTTGAGCTCCCATTTCCTCCGTGGACTAAATTCTCTCTAGGATCCTTTTCAGCAGTAAAAATGTGTTCCTAATATTTTTATGATTCTAAAAACACCCGAGATACATTTAAATGGATAGTAAATGCTAAGATGAAGACATAGATACTTGAGTGCCCTTTCCAAAGAACTAGAAGAATAGTGCTTGCTTCATATAAAGATATATTTTTGACTCTTGAGTCAGTCTCTTTTTACCAGCTTGCCATTAAACTTGATCAGTATATAAAAGTAGTTGCTTGCATGCATGAGCAATTAAATGGTATGGAGAGAAAACAAACATCTCCTGTTAATAAGTGACTGTAGTGTGTTATTCACTTGGCTAGCGGGGGGGGGGAAAATCTACCTTTGCTTTTGATACTTGTTTTTCAATTTAGCTTACAAATGAATTAAATATCTCCACTGTAACCATCTCGTTTGAATTGCAAAGTCTGGAAGTGCTTGATTAGTATTATATTAAAGTTGCCAATAAGTATCTGAATTTAATTCAGTATAACAGATTTTTATTGAATGTCTCATTAGGCACAGCATTGGATATACCATATTCACGAGAGTTCTATAGTTGTCTGATTGGGGCAGTATGATTTTCATAAGTGAAAAGATCAACAGACCGTAGGAAAGGATAAGACGATGTGCAACTCAGTGACAAAGAAGAGGTAAATCAAAGAGGACTGGATGAGGAAAGGCTTGCTGGAGTGAGTAGGAGTTGACCATGGCCTTAAAGGTTGTGGGGGGTATTGGGGCTCCCCCAAGACCACTCTCAGGCTCGATGATTCACTAGAAGGACTCACAGGATTTAGAAGTTTTATACTCATGCTTATGGACGTTGACGAATCAAGTCAAACTGAAATCAAAGATTCATGCAAATGGATATACGAGACCAGAGTTCCCAAGCCTTAGCTGCACATTACAATCACCTGAGAAGCTTTTAGAACTCCTACTGCCCAGGCCACTCCCCAGACCCATTAAATCGGAATCTCTGTGGGTGTAACCAGGATCAGTTTTTTAAAGCTTTCTGGATGATACCAATTTGCAGCCAGGTTTGGGAACCATTGATCTAGAATGTAACTTCCACGAGGGCCAGGAGTTTAATTTCCTTCACAGGGGTATCGCCGGCACCTAGACCAGAACCTGGCATATGGTATATGCATAACATAAACCAGGAAGCAAAATTTGGTTGAAACCAGTTTTTAGAAACTCAAAGTGAAGCAAAGATAGATGGTTATTTGGTAATTGTAGACAAAATCACAACCAATAAGTATGTATTAGGCCAGAGAAAACACAAAGCACCAACAGAAATTTATCCTCCTTCTTTTTTGGTTCCTCAGTGCCCAGCACGGAGCCAGGAATACAGGAAGAACTTAATGCATTTTTTTCAAGTAAATCAATTAATGAGGGTGGCTAAAAAGCAAAATCAAAAACAATAACAAAAGAGAAATCTGAGATACAGCATACATAAGCAAAATAGATGGAATTAAGTGTAGTGATTCCATTTTTTTCAAGTTTTAATGTACTCACAAAGCAAATTGTTCCCTCAAATTGCTCATTTTTAATGTGCTTTAAT